GTTGGATTCCCCGAGTTCCTGGTGAAGAGGAAATTCTCCCTATTTCTTCTCACCACCATCCCTTTCAACATTTCTTACCATCATGTACCCACCTGGAAATAGAAAATAAGAAATCCAAGTGGTTTTCACGATTGGTTGGCCCGGGGATCGATTCCGGAGATTGCTGCCTTCGTCCGGTATGTTTTATATCCCTAGCATCGGTTCACAGATACTATTGCTGCAAATGACTCGTACATCTAGCCACAATAGGCGAGGGATCGATTAAAATTTCAAATTGACCGTCGCTATATCAATAGGCAATTTATGACGCCAACTGGCACAATTGTTGTTTATACACTACTTCCGTCGACGGATTCAGTCGCTGGGTCGAAACCTTCATTGACCCATTTTCAAAGACGAAAGTATTTTCATTATTCGCCTGGTGATTTTCGGAGTTGATTGGCAGTGATTGCTTCCATGGCTGGAAAGCATCGGCATTAATGCTGAGGCGAGGAAATTCAAGCAAATCTCACTGTGCGTTCACTGCGAAGCGATTTATTGGATTATGAAATTCAAATTTTGTCGACAGTTTATTAACTTTTCAATAGCTTTTATTAAAATGTATATTAGAATATAAGATCAAAGAATCATGAAGAAATGTAACACCAAGAACGCAAGGCATCAGATGGAGTTGAGCATTTATTGAGATAATTTGTTTATGGGCATTTTCCATGGTATTCATTTCGATAGATTTATTTAGAGTTTATATCGGTCATATATACAGCGTATATTCAAACAGATATATGAATAGCTGATTATAATTTTTCAATTACTAATGATAATTATAATCCAATTCATTATCACTTTTATCCGAATTAAAAAATGTATAATTATTTGATAATTAATCTACAATTTGTTACTTATAAACTGGAAAACTTTGATTTATTCATTTTATTTTGTTTAAATGTCTGAAAAATGCCAAAAACTAATGAATAATTTTTTTTTTCATTTCATTCCCGTCATTTCCTATTTTTTCCTCTAGACTTGAAAAAAAAAATGTCAACCGTATTTTTATCGCGCTGAATAATGTCCAATAAAAACCCCTTAATAACCTATGGATTCTGATAAAGGAAAAATGGGGAAAAATACTCTTTCCCCTCCTGGACTGCTCCCATAGCCAATTAATGCGAGAACTGAGACCACCGGACACAGCAAAGTCGTGAATTTGGTGCTGCGAATCATAAATATACGTACTATCGGAAATAAACCATCCCTCACAGCAATATATACCATGGGGTGGATATGGGGTGGAATGGTGAACCACTCGCTATTTCCCCTTCTCGGGTGCCTTTTAACTATTCGCTCTGTTGGGGAATTGTGAAATACGCGTTAAGCAGGAAAACAGATGCATTGGGAAGAGATTTTGCAGTGGATGAAATGCGTAGGTGATGGGAGAGCTGGGATTTTCCCTCGCAATGCCCTCTGGAAATCCCCGTACACCGAATTAATTAATGGTACCTGACTCTACTACATCCCTGCTTTTTCCAGATCCACCGTTTTTCCCATAAACCCACTACCGACGCACCTGATGCTCCTCGATACATACCCCTTGCTTTTTAATAAAATAAAACGACATTCCTCTGTCGACTCCCTATAAAAACACCGCAAGTCCTATGTTACATCAAAAGAATTTTCTTTCTCAAATAGAAAATCGAAAAATTAAGAAATTAAGTCAGCAATCCAAATAAATTATCATTTTTTCATCTGACAAAATTATACTATATATCAAGTTGCAGTGAGGATAAATAAAAAATAATGATAAGTAATTATTTTTGTCATTTATCAATTTTTGACAAAACCAGTCATTATATAAATTATCTACTCGCATTTTTTAATGATTAATTGAGAAAAAATCGTTTCTCGATGGACAGACTACTAGAATTACTTATTGGAAATCGAAATTAATTTTAATGAGAACTTGTTTACTCGGCGTAAAATCTATTAATACCGACGGATTTCAGTGGAATATAAATTTCTAATGAAATTCAGCCTCGGATTACATTGGAATACATAACGAGAAGAGCTGCAGAATTTTTAATTTATTTTGAGGAAATCTTTAAAATATTTTTGAACTGTCGGTTTGAAATAGAAAATGTGAAACTGAAATTTCCGCCGTTCCCCATTTATATGGAGGCATAGCTTTTTCATAGGATAAAACACTATTTCCTCGGTCGACTCCCCCATAAAAACGCCGCAATACTCTATTTTATGTCCCGAGAATTTTCCCTCTCAAATAAATTTTTTTAAATAAAATATTCAAATCAGAGATCCAAATAAATTACGATTTTTGTCATTTATGAATTCCTCGACGAATTAAGTGATTACATAAATCACCATTCCCTTACATTTCTAATACACTAATTCGCTGAATTCGTTTCTAGAGAGAAATAAAATTAAACTGAACTCTCTGATATTGTAATTCATTTAAAAGAGCACATGTTACACGCCACAAAATCTGTTAATACCGATAAATTTCGCAGGGGCAAAAATGTCTAGTAAAATTCGCCCTGATTTTAAAAATATTTTTGAACTTCTGATTTGAAATAGAAAAACGGAAACTGAAATTTCCACTGTCCGCCAGTTATTCCGATGTCACTCACATTTTTCCACCCGCAATCATCAATTTTTCAATTGCTAATCCATTAACGGGTTTAATTAAACGTAAACAGGCGATCCGATGGAAATAAAATAAATGAATAAAAAAAAATGCGACTCCATTGTCTTCTGGATGAATAGCGGGGGCTTATCGTTATGCGTCACTGGGTCTCACGCAAATTCAAAATCAATTAGTTCGGTCCAGTACGTGTGGCAGCGGTTAGTTGAATTTTTTTCTCGATTCGTTATATTAATTGATGGACAGATAACCCCGGTATATTTAAGCTGAGTACATACCGATACGTAATTCAACGAATTTTCAGATTAATTCTATATAGGGGCTATCCCTTCCGACCTCTTCATACTGTGAATCACTGTAATTTCTGGGATCTGGAGGGATGAAATGTATTTATCACTCGCGAGATTTATTCACCCTCCATTCAATGTACCCATGTATGCATAAAAGCCTTCAGCTTTCGTTAATTAATCAGGGTAATTCATGTCGTTCGGTGTATAATCAGTTCAATTATTGTTGTTGAATGAATTGCATGATAATTTATGGTAAAGAACTGCTTCAGACAGTTTTCGTTTAATCAAGTATTCATTTTTCGTCGTTTTTGTTTTTTCCCTTTTTTTTATGAGAATTACAGCGCACGGGGAGCATCTCTTTGATGTGAAATGTACAAAATTAAAAATTAAAAAATGGTAATTATTCAAGGAATTTCGCCATTGGAAATACCAAAGGGAATCCCATTATTCTCTGAAAATTGATTAAATCTTGTGAAAATCCAATAAATACATTTTTTGATTGCAATATCTTTTAGAGTTCATAGAAAATTCAAATAAAACGAAAAAATGTCGTCTTCGTGCTAGTACCAATTTTCAAATTCCTTTAAATTGCAAAATCGAATTTAGAATCTGTTTTCCCCAAAAATCTCGAAATCCAAACAAAATATCGAAATTCTTGTCATAACCTTGTTTGGTGAGGTACTGTTGAGTAGGGTGGATCGGGAGAAGTTCAGGAAAATGTGGTGATTGTGTAAAAATGCTATAACTCGCGAAATTCTCACACACAACGATTATTAATTTATTAAAA